GCACACGCGCCTGGCGTGATTTTTAAGCCACCAGGTCCAGGATGCGAACCGCGGTCGACTACGTGGGAGTCCAGAGATATAGCCATTACACTAACTGCTGGTCCCCTCTCATTAGTTTTTTTCCCTGTATTCTGATCCACTGGACCTGGAAATGGGACAGATTTGAAGTCACCACCAGCCCCAAGGACCACAGAAATCTTCACCAGACGCGTTCCCATTTCTGGGATTTTGGTCGCTGAAAGATGTTTGTACACTTTCTCTTTCTTTGGACAGAATATGGTGGTGTCTTCTAAATGCATTTCTTCCCAATAGGTCTGCTTTTCACTTTGGGACCTCTGTTTGGGGAAGAAGGTTTGGGGCATGCCGCGGGTGGCTGCGGCTGTAGCAGCTGGCCAGGGCTGCTGCCGGGCGCCAATAAAATAATTCTTAAAAAAGAAAAAAAAACCCCTACAAATAAAACTACCGTATGATCCAGCAATTCTACTCCTGGGTATCTACTCAAAGGACAGGAAAACACTCAGTCAGAAAAGTACTTCCACCTTTATGTTTATTGTGGCATTATTCACAATTTATAAGACATGGAACCAGCCAAAATATTTACAAACCCAAATGTATGGATTGAAAAACTGTGGCACATATACACTATGGAATACTACTCCGCCATAAAAAACAATGAGGCCGTGGCACTTGATAGAAAGTGGATGAATATGGAAGATTTACTGCTAAGCAAAGCAAGCCAAACTATGAAAGAGGGCATTTGATGTCCCCACTCAATATATACCAAATGTCTGTGCTCTGGCAGACACTAAAAGATTGGAAGGTATAAAAGGCATGGAGAGCCACTGTGGATACTAGAAACAGTATAGGAGGAGGGTGAGAAATGGGGCAGGGTGAGAGAAAGGGAATCAAGGGGAAAAAGAAGGAAGCAAAACATTTAAGGGACACAAAAATAGAATATTATCTACTGATGATTAACATGTAGGATAATATCTTTTTTTTTTTTTTTGAGAGTTTTTTTGCTATAGGGCGTGTGTTCTCGCCAGAAAGACAGAGACAGAGAGACAGAAAGTGAGAAATCATTCCCCAGGGGGAAATGGTCACACAGCAATTCCTTCTCCTCCATTCTCCTCTTGGGATCTTGGGCATGCATGCACATGCACCCTGTATGAGTTTAAGCCACCAGGTCCGAGACTCAAACCACAGTCAACTGCATGGAAGTCCAGCGACATAGTCATTACACCAACTACTGGTCCCAATGTAAGATAATATCTTTTAACTGGACTAATACACAGTGGAGTCATGCTGGGGAAATTCATTTTGCATGCTGTAATGATATACAGTGATTAAATGCATTAGACAGAATCTTTTTTTTTTTTTGTAATGATATACAGTGATTGAATGTATTTTAAAAAAGGCTAATTTATTTATTTAGTTTTTTTGCCATAGGGCACATGTACTTGTGTTCACTGGAGAGAAATGAGAGAGAGAGAAAGAAAGTGAGAAATAACTCCTTGGGGGAGGGTGGTCATGCTGCAGTGCCCTCTCCTCCTCTCGGGATTTTGGGCATCCACGCACATGCACCCAGTGTGATTTCCAAGCTGCCGGGTCTGGGACTCATACTATGGTCAGTCATGTGGGAGACCAGTACCTTAATCACCATGCCACCTGCTGGTCCTGGCAATGCCCTTTCTAAATATGTAGCTGTCAGAACTTTATTTTGCTATCGGCATGTGTGCTTGCCAGAGAAAGAGAGAGAGAGAGAGAGAGAGAGAGGGAAAATGAGAGATCCTACACAATCCCTTCTCCTCTATTCTCCTCTCAGGATTTTGGGTATGCACACATGTGCCCAGTATGTTTTTCAAGTCAGGGTCCAGGACTTGAACATAAAGTCAGCCCTGTGGGATCCAGCTACCTTAATCACCACACGACCAACTGGCCCTGTCAGGAACTTTAAAGAATTTTAGACTTAACTACATGAAAGTTAAGCATTTCTGAATGTAAACAAGAACAAAAACTCCATAAACAAAATTGAAGTATAAATGAAAAATTGGGGACAAAGTATATGCAACAGAAACGGGAAACCCTAGACAGTTGTCTCATACTCCAATCTTTCCTCCTCCTGCTTTTCCATGGCCGAAGTGCTTCACCCACTCCATCTTTTATTTTCCACCTTCCCATTCATCCATCCATCCCTCCACCAACAATTGCTGAGCATGAACTGTGTGTGTCAGGCGCTGTACTAAGTGGTGGAGCCAAGTTGGATGCAACACACAGCTCTTGCCCTCAGGTCACATTCTGTTGTTCCTCTCCACATCTCCAGGTATAGAATCTGTTACATTTCTGAAAGGAACATCTAGAGAAGGATCAGGGCACATAAGGGACTATGGCAAGGAGCTAGGGTTTCATGAGTCCTTTGTGCGTCATGGCTGGGCCCAGAGGTGGAGCTCTGATTCGTTGTCTTTCCTGCAGACCCAGAATCAGATTGTCTACTTCATTCGTCAAGCACCAGTTCCCATCACTCCAGAGAACTTTGAGGCGACTGTGCAGTTCGGGACCGTGCGGGGTCCCTACATCCCAGCCCTGCTTCGGCTACTCACCGGTGTCTTTGCCCCTCAAATCTTTTCAAATTCAACCTGGCCTGAGAGCATTCGCAATCATTTTGCTTCTCATCTACACAGGTTCCTGGCCTGCCTGACAGGTAAGTGGGAAGCTGAAACAGCTAGTTTCCCCTTCGTGCTCCTCTGGCCTAGTGAGGCAGGTGCAGGGTTCTCCTGAATGCCCCCGCTGTATGACACAGAGCAGGCACTGGTATGTGTTGAATGAGTAAAACTGGGTATCGCATCGCATTTGTCTTCTAAACCAGGTACACCTTTCTGCTGTAGAACTGGTGGGCTGTATCTGCTCAAACTTAGAATAGAAAACAATTTTTCTTTTTCTTTCTTTTTTAGTAAGTTTTTTTTTTTTTTTTTTGGAGAGGTTTTTGCTATAGGGCGCATGCGCTCACCAGACAGACAG